TTATTGTTCATTGTAGTAATTGAAAGTATAAATTTTTTTCGCTCGAATAAATAAATAATATCGTTAAACGTTGTTTCATATATTTGAAAATAATAAATTATGTTTATAATTTAAACCGATATTGTTACGGTCGCTCGTTAAACAGAATGTGTGCATATTTTAATAGTTTTGAAGTGCTTGGGCTTCCGGTCGCTGAATATATGACCCTCTCAACATGTGTGCATTAGGGAACAGGAAATTATACTCAAAACTGAACTGCTAAAAACTACTGATAATGATTCATACAATATTCTGTAGTAAAATATAAACAAAAAACTAACCTACTACGGTTGAATAAAATATGCCCTATTAGGTTCATGTAGTAGTATTTCAGACAACATTTGATACGTGCATAGGCATATTATGACATTATACTTCATTTCGTAGAACGCATAAAAGTAACATTTAGACCAAATTCCGATTTTGGTTTTTTTTACCATTATTTTTTTAGAACAACATATCCGATTATTATATGGTATATAACAACTATTATTATAATAACCCCTTTCAATTCGATGCTCTTTAGGTACACATCACGTTTTGTTATTGTTTTTCATTTCATTTTACTATTTTTTTAACCATACACCCATTCCACGGTAACGGCAACTCCATTGAAAATCGACGACACGCTTTACATGTTTACATTGTTCACCAATATAGCATTCGAAATTAAAAACAAATAATACATGTGTCGGGCGGGAGAATATAAAAAAACCTGACTACCTTATACTTGTAAATATTTCTGAATCACACACGACCTCCATCTTTTTGACACCACCTGGTTCTTCCGCGGCATAATGTGTTTATGTACATCAATACAAATATGGCTTTTTTTATTGATTGTGTTTAGCCATGCACAAAAATTGATCGTTTCGTATATATTATACAAACATATAGTATAGTCATTGGGTTTAGCAAAGAAGACGGAATTGAATGTTAATGGAAATTTCACAGGCTGATCGATTTGTTTACCAACGGTATGGATATGAAACTTCGCCTTATTATGGCTAGTCAATAATATTTGATAATTCGGTAGGTTGTGTGTATTTAGTTATTTATTTTATGGAGACAACAAGTTACGATTTTATAAAAGAAAACAGCAGTAATTTTGAATAAATGATTTTTGATGAGCAATACTATGTAATTATTATAGGTTTCATACTTTATAGTTAATTTGTTTAAATTTATGTGAATATTAAATAATAATGAGTATGTGATTTTTCATCTATTTGCAGCAATGCAGTATGCACGTTGCATAATAATTTACCTGTGGAGTGCTTAAATATTTTGTTCCATGTATGATTTATGACTAGATTAAAATTACCAAAAATACAGCAAAAACGGGCATGGTTCATCCAATCTGAATTTTAATATCAAGCTAAATCAATATTCATTATAGAAGTATTCATTATATTAGAGTAGATTTTTAAATCACGATGAAGCTAAAAAATGTCTTTACTTATACCTGCTATTTTATGTCGTTTTATCGTTTTTAAAAATAGATTTTAATTTTTTATAAGTAAAATGTTTTTTTTAAATAATTGAAAACAATGTTATTCCGTTACACAATGGGGACGTAGAAATGAATAACCAAATCGTTTGTTGATAAGACATTGTACTCATGTCTGGTGAACTCAACCATATACCAGTAAACCATCCGGTAATTACGAAATTATTCTAAACCTGATATTACCCGTATCATATACCTATACAAAATAGAAAAGTCCTAAATTATATTTTTTTTCATTTACTCAAATTACATAAATCAGGCTCAGTGTGCGCACGTCTTAAATTGCTATACTGCACACAATTTCAGGACTCGCTATACAGCAGCGATTTAATGCAATGCCGTTTTATATACTTATATATTGATAATACAATACGAGTACCTATATGTATATACAGGATGATACGTATTTCAGCCAATGAGAACACTTTTTTATTTTTTTAACCTCGAGTTGAAATAATGTATTATACCCAATGTTTAAATGCTTTATTGTTATTCCTCTTTCAAAATTTCGGATTTTCTATAGTACCTATGCATACCTACGTATATTATATACGTTATTAAAAATATAACATAATCTAAGTGTGCTTGCAGACTGCAATAAATATTTCATTTGACGGCCAGAGTACTTTTAGACCAGTTGAAAAAAATCAAATTCAAACCGTTTGGTGCCAATTATTGTTTGTACCGGGAAATAAAAAATATCGTTTTTATAAGATTATTCATTATTCGGTAATTGTTTTTAAATAAATTATTCAGTGCGGTGAATACAAACGTAATACTATTGTATTACAATATTCATATTAAAAAATAAGCAATTTCTTTATTTCAATAAGTGCTTAATAATTCCGATATCTCGATCTGAACTACTCTGACAAAATGTACGAGGTATATTTGCAAATGCAGTATATGCATCGTTAACTAAATATTAAAATGTTCTATCGCGGTTGTTCGGGGCGCTTTTGTCTTTCACTCCCCTAAATTCACACCCTACCAAATTATACCGTTGTCAGCCACAATAACCTAATAACGCTGTAGATCTATACCTAATACACAGCATAATAATATGTATATTGCATAGAATATTAGGATCTATATGTGGATAAGACGAAGGGACGATAGTGCACAATATATATAATATTATAATATGTCAATTTTACCAAGGTGATACTTGACCTTTTTTAAAACCTTTATATATATTAACAGTACAAACGTACGATCGAAAATTGTTTTTGGCTAAACATACACCGAAAAAAACTAACGATAACCGCGACAAACAACGTCGTAAAATACTTGAATTAATGACAAAATAAAATGGTTACCCACTTACCGTAAGTATATCAAGATGTGTACTGTAGTCTACCAAGGAGGGTAGGGTAAGATTTACTCAACCTCAGTATAGGTATGTCACAATGCGATTCACGGACGGACGCGTACGAAATAAAGTTGCCAGTGAAAAATGTTTAGTTTAAATCCGGTGAGGTTCTACACTCACGAGGTCCGACCATGGTAAGCACGGTCGATGCAACCGCCAATCATATTATAATTGCTTACGTAACTCGAGGGTAACTTTGATATTTTCCATAGGTCAGTCTTATAAAACGTTTTTCGCGCAGTTTTCTCTGTGCCCATCTCCAATGTCCAATTCTAAAGCACTGTTTTCAATTTTTTTTTTTTGTTTTTGCGTCATCGTGCTTGTTGTTCAGTGCGAAGTTTTGCCATTCTCAAATCCTCGTATTATACAGTGTAGTGGCTATTACCGTGCATTGTTTGTAAATTATATCATATATGCGCATATATATAACATATTATTTAGGTAATTACACTTTTAGGTATTGATAGTACTATATTATATAAGCACTCAATGTAATCAATACCTATTAATTATAACAAATTAATTACTAAGTATCGATTATGATTCAGGGTCATAATTCATAACTGTAGAGAGTAGAGAACGTATTTAACTGTAATTAGTAATTACATATTTTTTACCCAGTTTTAATATTTTATATGTGTTTTATGTACATATGAATAAATTTGTACTAATTTAATCTTACATATTTATAGACATATACATATTAAATACACAAGTATTTTTCATATTAAATATATAATGAGTAAGTACATAATATATTGTAAATACTTAAGGACATTTTCGTTATTTCCTATGCGTTTTATTTTTAAATTATGTATTATGAACTTTCACCATCAAGCGTCGTTCTTATTTCTTTGTACATTGAATTTTTCACTACCGAAATTAGTGTCATTTTTTTTTAAATAAAATTAGTTACAATGCTCAACGTTTAAAATTCAGATAATAAGGTAAAACAATTCTATATTCAACATGTTATGAAATACCGGTAAGGTCAGTGCTTTCAGTTAAGTCAACATATTATTTCTTCTACCAAAAAAAATGAGGAGAACATAAAAGAAAACGAAGTCGCTGATCTCCCAGCCAAAGCTACAATCACCTCTCCACTATCATCGTCCACACAAATTACTTCACTCAGAGACATACGAACACTTATTACAATTAAATGTTAACTAAGATGGCACCAAAAGTGGACATATCTTACTATACAAATTAAATCATATTAAACATGACACCGAAAAATTTCATTTTTCCTATCGAAATTCACAGAAAATTCGAAGTCATATATTAACGAGACTCAGAATCAGGCGCACGCAAATCTCTCAGTTTCATAATGGCCAAAGAAGAATCCCCAATGTGTACATCCTGCGGTTTCCAAGTCACCATCAGCCACATTCTCACTGAATGCCGAACACACTACAATATCCGAACAAGCCAAAACCTGCCCGAATCACTAGCCGAAGTACTAAACAATCACCCTAAATACATTGCCAACATCATCCAATTCATCACAGCCAATCTTCAAGACAATATTATATAAAAATGTATAGTTAAAATAAGTAGAGACAATTAATTAATCATATCGTCTATAGACCCAACGGCCCATGTAGCCAAGGGTCAATTTTTTTTTGGATAAAAAAATTTTTTTTTAAATAAGGAGGCGGATGGTAACGTAATTGGTTCAATATTATTGGTACCTAAACTTAGTTCTGTTCTAAGTTTATAGTAATAATTCTTTCCTCTTGAACTATAAGCAGCAAGATAAATCAATCATAAAACAAGCTAAGTAGTAAGTTGTTCAATGATTTAATGGATTTATTATGGAACGGAAACGTACATGATGAAAATATATTTTTTTCACGCTATAATAATTTGGTCATCAAGAAACTACCTGAGAATTACTACAAATGAGTATCGACCGACTAGTGTTTGAATATCAAACTGGCCTATGCCAAATCGCCACGAAAAGAGGTTGTAACTTGTAAAAATTTTAGTTCTACTAGTAAGTAGAAATACGCGACATAACGTATTAAATACGTGAGTATAAATTATAATAATATATACACAATAATGTGTACTCACTGTATACGACCATGGGGTGCCAGGCAGACCGGCGTTCAGAGTTCCAGTCCTCCACTTGACACCTGTACTCGCCGGTGAGCTCGGCGGTGGGCCGCTCGACCCTGATGACCCGGTGCAAGTACGAGCGGTCGGCACGTGGCGTCTCTGCGGTGACGTCAACCGTTCGTCCGCTGAGCGGGCCGAGCCCGCCCCCCGCCTCAGGACCGCCGCCAGCTATCCACTGATACACCTGTTCGTTGTCATTGATGATGGCCATCGCGTCGTTTGGTGCTGCCGGTATGGGGTTGCGCCGGAAGTACCACTTGACCACCAAACCCCGTAGCCGCTGCACCTCCTCCATGGCCGCGTCCATGGCCAGGTCCGGTGCCGGCGACGATGACCGCCGGTCGCGAGCGCCGTTCGCCGTAGACGCTGTCCCGTTGACCGGCCGTGGTTTCACATCGCCATTCTCGTCATCGTTCTCTCCACCCTCCAACGCGTATACGCAGCCCAACAACAGCGGCGGAGGTGCACCGCCGATCGCAGTGGCAGCCTGGTCGGGCTTGGCATCGTATGACCGAACCACCGACGGCACGTCCACCCTGACGACTCGCACAACGTTTACGGTCAATGCCGCCTGGTCTGTGGACAAAAAAAAAAACACATCAGTTTACGATCATTTTTCACACATTGCCAAGATTTTTCATTCCACGCGGAAATAGCTATATTGTGTATTACAAATATAAATCGTGGATTTGATTTCGTTTTTACGATATCAAACAATACATAAACATGTGTAGTCTGTCAACTGAACTTTAAGCATTATCGTTAAATTATATACCAGTTTAGGTACCTACTAATAAATAATAATATTATTAATGATTTTATCTCATCATATAGATACCTAATACAATTTTTCATCCAGTCATATGCAATTTTGAGCTTTAAAAAAAACGTGTAATCTATTGTTTGTAACAGGTTATCAAACTGTAGGGCTGTAGGTGTTTCATTATTTTTTATTACAAGGGATTTTAATATTTATTATAGATTAATATTTTGAATTTTCTACCCTAACCAACAAAAAATTAACGGGAAAACTTACAATCATGTTTAAAAACAAACATTTACTGAAGTAATAATTATCTGAAGTTAATTGAACTACTTTGATATTTAGATATAGATAAAGATCTATATTTGATATATTATGACATGGTATTATATGCAATATACATAATATCCATTATATATATAAATAATATAATGGAATGGATCTATATTTAATATATTATACATACGATGTATTCTTTTTTCTATTATAACATTCTTTATTGTCTTCTGCTTGGTCTACCATAAGATTATGACAATAAATTACACATTATATTACTTTATATAAGGCGGCTGTTGTATACGATATATATAACATGTAAACAGCAAAGTTTGACTATTTCCTATTACGTAACTAACCAATAAATCACCAGCTCGATATAAAATTTTGAAACTCCCTCGGTTAGTATAACACGGTTTATATCATGATGATCAATTCAAACACAAGTTGGTACAGACATCGAAAAAAGAATATTACATGATAATGAAATTCACTTTACATGGTGTATTGACTATTAACCCCGCGGATAAACGATACCACTACTGAGTCACTGAGACACATGCGTCTCAAACAATAGGTAATATAATATATGATAAGTGAAACGGTGTATTTAGTATATACAATGATAATAAATAAAATAGAAGCAATAACTATTATTATAACTTATATCTATGTAGGTAGATATAATAATTCTAACAAAAACTATACATCGTTGGAGTCGAACATCATTAGTTTGCAACATAACAGCTCTGACAGCATGTAGACAGTGCAGGTGTTTTTAACCAAATAAATTATTGACGAAAAATGTTTTTCTCAGGAGGGTAGGAGTGGGGACGTGAGATCAAAATCGTATAAATATAAAGTAATAGCTAGCTAAGAAAATATAGGGGCATACTAGAACCAAGAGGTGTACGATGTTCGATGCACATTATACAATATATTATAATATTATTATGTGAGAAAAATACAAGCTCGGCCGACTTCATGATATATACCCTTAAGCCCATGAGAGTATTCTGTGGCATATGGATGGTATAACATATTAAAGTATGGGGCCAATAGGTGCGATGCAATCGGACTCTTAAAAAAAAATATTTATAATATATATGTGAATAAAAAATTACTGTTTTCGGCTTCGGTTCACGCACAGCATTATATGTAGCTGAGCGGCCTACGACGATATGTATATCAATCAAAACGAGAAACGTATCTATGCGTTTGTACAATAATATATTTCTAACAAAACTATAGATAATAATATTGCTTGTATATACCTATATTATATTACAATATGAATAATTTGTTTTTTCCGTGTTTTCTCGTGGGAAATTTCTAACGTAATATTATCACTCTCTCTCCCTCTCTTCATATATATATATATATATATATATATAATATGTGTATACATATATTATTATCATACGTTTTACTATCCTACGTTCGGAGGTAAAATATAATATAATATAATACAATATAATAATACAAAATTGGAAAAATTCGTATTTCCGTAGACAATGTATACTGACCACATTGTTGACTGCCTGTGTTTGTTTATATGTAACCGCTGATGCCGAAAAATACACATAGTATTATTATTATTATAACCAATTTGACCGAGTATAACGGTGTATAGGCCGACCGTAAATGTTGCACATAATAATATCTGATGGCGTAACGATATCGACGGCTGCAGACCGCGTGGTCTCATCTGCTGTAGCGCACTTAATTCGACATGGTGTCTATCATTTTGGCAGTTACGACAGATGTTCGAAACGTCAAAATAACATTAAAAAAAAAAAAATGCTTACACTCGTGCGCCGACCATGCATTATGGTTGTTTGTTTCTAATTGGCTCCAAATTTCAAAAAACAAGAAATAAAAAAAAGAAGAAAAAAAGCCGTGTACGTAACATTGTTATTCGTATACATATAGCCATATAGGTATACCGTAAACCTAATTTAAAAAAACCTTCTAAAAGTCTTTTAACAGAAACCCGGCCGGAACCCTTTGCTTATTCTCTGATGGTAGCCGGTAGGGTAGAGTAGGGCAGTGCCGATACCTAGTATCCGGTAGTATAGATTTGTATGGTTATTAATTCAAATATTATTTTATTTTAGTACAAATAAGTTTTTTGAAAAAAAAATATACATATAATACACCTAATAGTATTGCAGACAAATTTCCAAAAAAAAACTTAATATTATTTTTTTTATGATGATAATTAAGTATTTATATATTTTGGTTTTATCATTCCCAAGTCACTGATTGCAAATTCTGTGCTTATCTTGTTTACACTTTAAAAACTAATTCTGTAAGTGCCTTTAAAAACATGTGTTTGATAAAACTAAAACTGGGAAGCTTTTTTTCTCTAATTATAAGAACCAAAAAAAAATTATAAATAATAAAAATGTTTTAGCCTCTGGTGCGGTGATCATATCATATTAATTTATTATTGCCCAAATACACTAACAAAACGGGCATTTTAATAGTTTAGTAACTTAGATTACTCAGCGTGGGTACTCCCGAATGTATTAATATTTAAACACTAACCGTATGTTTTACATTGACGAATGACTACATACAATGGCCTTTCATATTACACCCATGATACATATTATAATTCTGATTACGGCGTTTATATTCAAGATAAATTAAGAAGCTACCTATATTATAATATCATGATGAGGGATTTAGGCTTATAAATTTATTATAAGTCGTATTCGCATACAAATGTCAAATATACAACTATACGTATTATGTATAATATAAACGTGTCAGCAGTTGAGTAGAGAGAATTAAAGGTGCGAATTAATGTACGCGTTTCGTAAATGCGAATTAAGTCCCGAAAATCATGTTAAAATTGCGTAAGGTGATAGGATGAATTATATTATTATAATATTATAGGCTTTATTGTGTGCAGGCTAGTGTAGTGAGTAAGTTAATCATCAATTTGGATTCTTGGACACGAGCAAATGTGAAACGACTACTTTGCGCCATATCTATTATATGCAATAATGGTACACTCTGTGTAAATTATAATATCCCTACATAGCAAATCGAAAATATTAATATATTAAAAATATTTGTTGAGGGTTTCCTGTCAAAAATGTTATTGAAAATATTGTTGAATTAGCTTCAAAATTTTCGGTCGCCCTATTATATCTGAAATCAAATATAACTAAAACATTCTTTTCGAAACGCTTTGAATCAAATATTATAAGTTAATTGATGTGAAACATCCAAAGCGGCGCTTGGTAACGTTGCCACGAGCGCAGCGGACGCAAAGCTCAAAGTACGCAACTCGCTTGTAGCCACACGTGCAAAACATCTAATATGCCTTTAAAATAAAAGTAATTTTCGATGTTTCACATCTGTCAGGCATCCGTGACGACCCATTTTTTTTCATCAAATATCTTCAAAATATTCGGCTATAATATTATTATATATTTTGAAATCAAATATTATTAAAACGTTTTGTAAATTTAAAAACGAAACGATGTAAAAATATTTTGCTGAAGTGTTGTGAAAAGCGTTTTTTCTCCTGCTAAAAAATGTTTTCTATATTTATTCATAATATTTTAATACATAGTGATGAATAAAATGAAATATTTTTATTTTACTTTTTTAAATTGTATCAATATTTTGAAAATGTTACTTTGCTATGAGCATAATATTGTATGCAGGCTAGTGTCGATCGTAGGTTAATCAGCAATTCGCATTCTAAAGCGCTAGCAAATGTGAAATTACATAATATTACGAGTATATACAATAATGGTACACATGTTGTACATTATAATATTATCATACTTTAACGAGTATTAACGACACCACTCTAAATAAATGACATGGGAATAATACCATTTTAGCGTTATTTATAATTTAATGGGACGCGTTGTGGAAAAATGATTTTTAAACGAACGACAAATCAGGCGATGGGCTGTGAAACCGACAATAACCAGCCAATAACCAATAGGTAGGTATAGGAATATTTTGTACACTGTAATATTTATATATATATATATATGACATATTATATGCCAACATGTAATATTATATATTGTGTCACTGTCTGAGCAATTATAAATCTACGCGTGAGCACACGCGTGAGGTGAATTTCCTTCCGGTAAACGGTGGTGGTATAGACTTCCGGTGTGGGACTGGTCGTCAACAATACGTGCAGGCGGGATTTTACTGGTGGGGTTGTACCAGGTGGATAGATCACGGTGGATGTGTTATAAAAATAGACGATCCGAGACAATAATAAACGGCCGGATGACTGGACACGAGCGCACCTCGTTCACATAATATTATTATTATTATTTATTATTATCGTCACGTAATCCGATATCGTTTTAATAGTGGCCGTACGCGAAAAAAGAGGCAATATAATGAAGCGTTGGCGTCCGTCGGGGTCGTGCACGGGTTTTCTTCAGGGAGAAATCGAAACCGAACACGTCTTACCGGATGTATCGTATATAATATTTCCCGTCCAAACGAAATCTTAGCGATTCTACGACGACAACCCCCACACATATTG